CCTTCGATTCCGGTGAAAAGGTGCTAAGCTTTCGTCCGTCATATGACAAATCTCATCAGATCAAGGTATCATCGTAACAACCAAATTCAAGCTAACGAGTCAAGAAAACTCACCGGCAAATCCCTAAAAATTGGTATATGTACTCTACATCTGGCCTCTTTGAGCAGGTATACATTGATTGGGTTAGTTACGGTCATATGTCAACCTCGAAGACTGTGAATGTGTCTGTCTCTGTATGTGTATGTGTCTGTTTGTGTTCACTGATGCACGAAATCCGCAGTGATGGCTCAAGATAATTAGTAAAGCTCGTTAGTTTTTCGCCGGAATTGAAGGAGACTACCTTGGAAACAGCGTCAGCATGGATGCTCGAATAAAGACAATCGACAACTGGTCAAGAGGAATCCGCCGTCGTCTTCTGATGGAACCGACCTTGGAATCTCTTCACGAAACACTTTCACTAGAAAGTGAAGTAAGCACAACAATGGTTATTTTTTCATAAAGAGATTGAGGCTGTCAGATTAAATGTGCTTGAAGGGTAGCAGGAATTGTCCAATCTGGGCAGTGGGTCTGGCGGGTATGTGGTATCTCTACGGCGATGATCTGGCAAGACTTGGCCCTCAGGAGGGCGTAGGGAGGCTGATTAGTTGTCCCCACTTGTTCGAGGACGTCGTCTTCACCCTCCCTCGTCTTCGAGGTGGAAGAATTGCACCAACCCCACAGTTCCTGGTGAGGCCAAACTGCACATGTCTGCAACTTGCGTCCTACCGCGAAGGCCTCAAGCCGATCGAGGTCAATGAGGCGGTTGGTACAACCAACAACTGTCAAGTGTCTGCCGTGGAGCGCGTGGATCAAGAGGAGTTGGTGATTGGTACACTGACAGAGAGGTTTATGTGGACTTCTGGCCAAACCGACTGTATTCGTCACGAGAAAGTCGTACTTTTCGGCATTCTGGCCGCGCTGTCTGTTGCCGACCGGGTGGCAGCCCCCGGCCGTGGGCCATCCCAGCTAGACAACGGGCCACGGCCTGTGGCACTTGTAGAACAGCAGCCTCTTCCCCATCCCCAGCCCCCTCTCCAACCCCGTTCCCTTGGCCGCATCTTTGCCTACTCCCTGCTCAGCCGGCCAGACATGCAGGCCGCATGTACACCGGAGCGTAGGCATTCGAGTGTCTTGGAGACACTCTTGCGCGTCCAGCTATGTACATGATGGTGCGCCATCAGTCTCTGTCGGCACACGCACAAGCAGATGTGCAGTAAGGGCAAACTTTGGTTAGTCTCAGACCTAACGACACACAGCAGAGGTGCGTATGTTTACGTAAGTCTATCCGAGTCACTAGGCACCATACAGTCGAGCTGTTTATCCTTCGGCAGGTGTGATCCTGGCGATCATTGTCTTCGAGTGATTGCAGACATTCTCGATAATTTCAATGTATTTTGGTCAAATAACCGCCCCTTCCGGTGGCCCCGCCCCATAAAGACCCGTTCACGCATCGGCGATCCGGGACACTCGGGCTCCACTCGACCCTCTCCGTCAGCACTGGAAGGCATTCCACGAAGCGTCAGGAAGGCCTCCGCTCGCCTCCAGCGCCAGAATCGACTGACCGCCGAGGACACCAGATGGCCAGATCCACCTCCTACTCCTCCGACCCAGCCAGCGCCAGACCCTGAACGCCGGAAAACCACGGCCACGGATAACCGAAAAACGTGTATCTTCCCACGAGGCCCCCCTCTTCTTAACTCGCCTGGGGTTAGTGGTCCGGAGTTACGTTTCTCATTCCATAACTAGCCTCGGAAATAATTAGACCTCGAAGCCACCAGTAGATTTTACAGCTGCAAACCCTACTCACTATGTAGGCAGTAGTGTCGCCGAGTTTGGCAGTTCTA